CAGGGCTCTGACAGGGACCTGACGGGGCGGGCTCCCACAATTACCTGGAAGGTGGTCAGCTGGTGGATCAGGGCGTTGCGGATGGTCTGGATCTGGGACGAGATGACCGACAGCACCGAGGCGTCGATGCGGTTGAACTCGTCGAAGCAGCCCCACGCCCCACACTGCGCCAGGCCCGAGAAGATCTTCCCCACGGCCTACGGCGGGAGACGGGGCACAGGGCACTCAGCCTGGGACCCAGAGATTGAACCCAGGGTCTATGGTGGGAGAGGGGGCACAGGGCATTCAGCCCGGGACCCTCAGGAGATCTTCCTGAGTCACTGAACTGCGCCAGGCCTGAGAAGATCTTCCCCTATGGCAGGAGAGGGGGCACAGAGCTTTCAGCCAGGGTCCCTGAGGGTGTCTCCACAGGCTAGGACAGGAAAGGGGTCACAGGATGTTCTGTCCCAGATCTTGAGGGACATGGCTCCGGGCAAGTGCTTGACCTCCATGCCAGTGATGGGTACTCGGACCCACAGCAACGCAGCTGTCCAGATACCTGACTAAGACCTTCCAGGAAAGACTTCTGAGGCCATGAATAGGGTCTTAGGAGTTAGGATTTGGGTGGAAAACTCCAGACTTCTGGCTTCTCTTGAGATACTGGCACACCTTGCAATATTGATGTTGGACAAGAGTCCTGACTATTCCACGGACGGACAAAATCCACACACATCCTAGAGAAGGTGCAACCAGAGGGCTCCCTAGAGGCAAGGCTGGTGTGACTTCATCTCACGTACTCTGGGCATGTGGTGAGAAGAGGCCATCATGCCGGGAAATGAGGAGGGTCAGTGAAGGACAGGGAGCCGCCCACGAGACGGACTGATACAGGGGCCGTAGCAATGGGCTCAAGCGCATCGGGGAGGGGAGGGCAGCCACGCCAAGCTCTTACTTTGTAATCCATGCCTTCGCCGCAGTTGGTCACCACGCAGAGCAGGCCCAGGGCCTTGGCGAGGTCCTTGGTGGTCTCGGTTTTACCGGTGCCCGCTGGGCCAGCCGGCGCACCCCCCAGATACATGGACAGCGCCTGTCACAAGACAAATATGACACAGGGTGTCTGATTCACTTAAGGAAACAGGCGTCATTTCCAAGTTCAACGCCGTGATGATATATACATATGAAATACACATCCATACATAAGTACAGCAGTTCCCTGCCCCCTGCTGACAGTGTCCAGCTAAGGCTCTCCTTTTCTGGGGTTTTCTGTTGACTTCTACTCACCTCCTTCACACAGGAACCAGTGACCAGAGACTGAGCAATAATAGCCACGGGGCTGGTCAGGTGACCGCTCTGAGGACAGTGACACCATGGTACCACAGGTGGAGCCAGGACGCAAGTACTGGTGTGCAGTAAGGGGCTATTCTTGCCCAGAACGGGGCTGGGCAGTACTGCTCCACTCCTGTGGGGTGACCGCTGACCTCGTGGGATGTTCCTAGTTTACCTGAGACCTCAGGGCAGACTGCACAGTCTCACCACGTGATTTTGGGCAGGGGCTAGAAGTTACGGTCAGCACGCGGGTTGTTCAGCTGGGTCTATGTGACCACCTCACAGTGGGAACCCCGGACACCAGGCTCAGGGGATGTCCCCGGGGCTGGCAATGCTCCACACATGTTGCTAGGAGGAATGAGAGGAGCCAGCACCTGCCCCCGGGGGTGACAGCTGGAAGTCATTCCTGGTCTCCTGAACCTCGCCCTGTACATCTGTCCTCATCACGGCTTCTCATCTGTATCTTTTCACGGTCATAAACTCTAAGCATAAAGACTTTTCCGTGTTCTACCAATACGTCTAGTGAATTGAACCCGGCCTTCGGGGCCTCCCCACCGGCAGCATCTCAGTCCTAAGCGGTGGCCACGGGTCACTTTCTAAACTGGCTGTACAGACTAACACACCGCAGTCTCTTACTATCACAACAGGGCGCTCTTGTGGCCTGGTGGTAAGGAATTGCACTGCCAACTCAAGGGCGCACTGTTCAAATCCACCAGCTGTTCCGCAGGAGAAAGCTGAGCCTTCTCCTCCCGTGTGACTTACGGCCTCTGAGAAACCACAGCAGGGTCAGCTAGGGGTCGGTTCTGCCTGGACAGCACCTGATGCCAAGGCCATCACACCCACTATGCGCCATCGACACGCTGCGACAAAACGCTGCGACAAAGCGCGGCAGCCCGGGGCCAGCTGTCACCTGCGTGAGGGTCAGGTAGATGCGGTCTGTCAGCGGGGTGATCACCAGCCTCCCGTTGAGGCCCATGTACTCGTAGCCGTAGCCAAAGGTGCCCGAGCACTGGCGAATGTTCAGCATGTCCGGCTCCCGGTCCCAGTAGAAGCGTAGCTGGCTCTCCCACTCGAACTCTCGGGCTTCCAGAATGCTGGGGGCGGGAAGGAGGAGAGGAGCCGGGAGACGTGCTGGGGAGAAGGACCGGGGACAGGGCGACGGGGGACTCCCGCGGGGCCTCACCTGCCCCTGATGAAGGCGTCCACGATGTCGCGGGCGTGCACGTCGATGATGAGCACCGTGTTGTATTTCTTCCGGTCGTTCTTGCTCAGGGGCCTCGTGATGCGCGTCACCAGCTCGTCGATCTGCTCGTGCATTTTCTTGCCGTAGTTCTTCATGGCCTGCTTCTCCCCGAGCTTCACCTGGTTGAAGACGTCCTCCACCTCCCAGGTCCACCACACCTGGCTGGCGGCCAGCACCACCATGCCCTGGTACAGCAGCATCCAGTCAACCCTGCAGAGGCGCTCGGATCAGAGCCATCCTCCAGGGACGGGCGATGAAGAAGTCACCTTTCCTTCCTCCGCAAGGGTATGGCCCTTAGTCACCCTTCAAACCGGGAGAAAAACTTCCCTCTGTGGCTCAGCTTCTGTCGTTCTGCACTCTGGACTCAGAGCAGACTCAGAGCTGACCCTCCAGATGGTCATCAGAGGCTGTAAATCGCACAGGAGGAGCCTGGATAGCTTTCTCCTGTGGAGCCACTAGGGGACTTGAACCGCCTGCCTTTGGGTTGGTAACCCAATTCTTTACCATTAAACCACCAGAGTTCAGAGGCCAAACAATAGGCAGGCCTATAGGCCTATAAGATGAATAATAACTCCTGGGAAGCACTCACTCCTTAGCACAACCAACCACTTAACACCAAAAAAGGCAGCATCGGTATAAGGAGAGAACTCGGAAGGAAGGGGAAGGATAGAAGGATGAATGAAAATGAGACTCACAGGGAGGAAGTGGGATGTGTGACGTTATATGATGAGCACTGCAGTTAATGTCATAAGGACAAAATATGTATGAATAAATGAATAGAAAACCCTTTTACTTTGTAAATATTCACTCAACTCACAAAGGCCCAGCGGGTAAAAAATTTACTTCTTTCTAAAGCTTCACAGCCTTGTTTCTGACAAGAGACAAGATAAATACACTGAACTTTCTTCATAAGAAAGTTAATAAGCTTTTGTGCATTAAAGACATCAAGAAAGTGAAGAAACCTAAAGACTAGGAGTAGGTATTTGGAAACCATCGGTCAGAGAAGAGTTTCATAACCATAATATGTAAAGAACTCCCATAACTCAATGACGATTAAGAGGCAACCAACTTAACTTAAAAATAACCAAAGGACTTGAATAGTCTTCTCACCAGAGCTACAAAACTGGCCATTAGTCCAAGAAGAAAACGCCCAGGTATCTCTCATTAAGCAGAAACCCAAGCCCCCTGCCACGGATCCTGGAGGACACTGCAGAACCACCCCACAGGGTTTCCAACCCTGTCATGTCACAGAGGGAGCTCTGGGGGCCTCAGGGTAAACAGCTGCGCTGCAATCCCGAAAGCTCACTGTTCAAATCTACCAGCTGCTCTGCAGGAGGAGGGGCAATTTCCTCCTGTGCAATTAACCTCCTCTGAAAACCAGCCAGAGGGTCAGCTATGGGTTGGTTCTGACTCAACAGCACACAGCAACAATCATCACAGAAGCAGACTGCCTCGTCTTTCTCCCTCGAAGTGGCTGGTGGATTTGAACTGCTGATCTTTTGGTTAGCAGTCAGGTGCTCATTCAATAAATATTGCACTCACTAAGTGCCTGTGTGTGTGTGTGTGTGTGTGTGTGTGTGTGTGTGCGCGCTGTCAAATTGGATCTGACTGGCACAGGAGGTAATTGCCCCTCCCTCTCCAGCAGAGCATCTGGTGGATTTGAACTGCACACCCCTGGGATTGCAGTGCAGCTTCTTGCCACGAGGCCACCAGAGCTAGCACTAAATGCTCATGTTATGCATCAGAGAGTTGGACAATGACCAAAGAGGATAGAAGAATTGATACCTTTGAGCTGTGGTGCTGGAGAAGAGTATTGAGAGTACCATGGACTGCCAAGAAAACAAACAGATTCATCCTGGAAAGGGTTAAACCAGGTGGCTCCTTGGAGGCAAGGATTCTGAGGCTCCGTCTAACTTACTTTGGACATGTTGTAAGGAGAGGCCGGTCCTTGGAGAAGGACATCATGCTTGGGAGGGTGGAGGGGCAGCGCAGGAGGGGAAGGCCCTCTATGAGGTGGATTGATTCAGTGACTGGGATAATCGGGATGGGAGTGTCAGAGACAGTGCGATTGGCACAGGGCAGAGCAGAGTTTAGGGCTGTTGTACACAGGGTCGCTATGAGATGCAAGCGACTTGACGGCACATAATAACAATTCAGCTACTGGGAGAAAAGGAACCTGCAGTCTGAAATGTGGGTCAGCCAGCTCCAAACCTTCAATTATTTTTTCCTCCTTTTTACTGTAGTTTGGGTGAAAGTGTACAGATCACATTAACTTCCTACTAAAAAAACTAATACACATTTTGCTTTGTGGCGTTGGTTGCAAGCCCCTCTTTGGTTGCAGCAGCACTCTTCCCACTTCCTCCCTGGGTGTTGCATATCCGTTCAGCCTCCTTTCCTCCTCCTGAGCTCGCTCCTGTCCACTGAACTCCGGTTTCAGGCAAACACTGCCTTCAGGGTCTCTACAGTTGATTGTTCTAAGAATACACTCCCTCCTCTTGCGGTTAGGATTCATCCACCGTGACAATGAAGATGATAAAGGGACTTGTCACCACACCACCGGCCTCACCCCTGGCCTCGCCCCTGGCTCACCGGCTTTTGTCTTCACAGTATCTGAAGATGGCCTCTTTGGTGATCAGCCGGTTGGTCCTCCTCATCTCGTTCAGGACCGCGGTCATCCAGTCCTCCACGCGCCCCTCGGCCCGGACGATCTTCCGGAACTCCATGACTTCGCCCTCCGCCGAGATCATGGCCGACACGAGTTTCTCATTGCTCTCCCCGTCGTTGAACCTCAGGGATGCAATGTTGTCAAACATCTGCAAGACAGAAGAAACTTAGCTCAAGTCTCTGCTGTCCAGTCTCAGCCAATTAACAGCTGACCCCTCCACTGGGTGTCCGAGGCTGTAAATCACGCGGGAAATAACTGACCATCTTTCTCCCTCAGCGCTGCTGGGGGATTCGAAGCACCAGAAAAGCGTAGCGCAATTCCCCATATGAGACAAGGGAAGCCACCTTGATGTTCCCGATGGAGTCCAGGCATCCACAAGCACCTGGGTGCCCCACCGGAACCCGGAAGCGGCAATTAACAGCAGCCGTGCAGCAAAAAGGGAGGTGTCCACCTGCCAGGTGCTTTGCTGGTGCAACACTTCCTGAGCACTTCTCGGAGCGTGCAAAGCTCCATGGTAAGGCTAACAAAGAGGACAGCTCCTGGCCAGCTCTGGTGGCCTAGTGGCAAGAAGCTGCACTGCAATCCCAGAGGTATGCCGTTCAAATCCACCAGATGCTCTGCTGGAGAAGGAGGGACAATCTCCTCCTGTACCAGTCAGATCTGATTTGATGGTACATGCACACAAAATAATAATATAAAAAGAAGAAGCCAGCTCCCCTCCATCCGGAACCCTGGTGTAGATGCCGCTGTGGATGGTAGCCACACATGTGTTTCACATTCACTGGAAAAGGTGAGACATCCTGGTGACCAAGCTCCCTGCCAGCAACAGTGCCACCTGCCACTGAGGCGACGCTGACTCCTGGTCACCCCGTATGCATCACAGCACAGGCATGCTCCAGGGGCCTTCCCACGACTGCTGCTTCAGAAACGGATGACCAGGAACCTCTGGAATCTCCTACCTCTGTTACAGGCCACCTGCGGTCTCGGATTAAACACCCTCAAAGCCAAACACAACCTATAGCCACCAAGTCACCTCCAACTCATATAAACAGTTTGTGTCCCAGTGCCCACACATGGTTTGTTAACCCTGTACCATAGTGTGTTAAGGACCACTGAGGTCAGGGAGCTCTGGTGGCCTAGTGGCAAAGAGCTGCAACTACAATCCCAGAGGCGCACGGTTTGAATCCACCAGATTCTCTGCCGGGGAAGGAGGGACAATCTCCTCCTGTACCAGTCAGATCTGATTTGATGGTACACTCACACAAAAATAATAAAATACATTTAAAAAAAATTTTTTTTATAAAAAGGAGCACTGAGGTCATAGTGCGAGACACACTGGGCTGCTGAGCGAGAGGTCAGTGGTTTGAACCCACCAGCTGTTCTGCAGGAGATAGATGGGCTGTTCCTTCCTGCAAAGATCTATCACCTCAGAGACCCAGGGGAAAGTCACCAAGGGTCAGCCCTGGAGTGACGGCAGTGGGCAGGCCGTCTGTGTGCCGATTACACAGTGTGCCCGGGCTCGGCACAAAGGAGACCAACTGAAACGGGGCCGAGACAGGCAGTGGGCACTTGCTTTTAGGGGAAAAAGCGATGCAATGCTGGGTTGCCACAACACTTCCACGAGGTTTTAAAAAAAGAAAGCCAGCCTGAGAGTCTGGAGCACAATAAAATGAGGCACGGAAAGTGGTGACCAGAGAGGACAAGCCCCTGCGTATGGCCACTCAGCAAACCAGTGTTGGGAAAGCCACTTCCCTACATGACCTCGAGCTCTGGTGGTTTGGTGTAAGGCACTGCACTGGCTGCCCAAGGGGCTCGGTTCATACCCACCAGCTGCTGAGGATAGATGATCCTCTCCTGTGCCATTTACGCCTCTGAAAACCTGCTGGAGGGTCAGCTAGGAGTCAGGTCCTAACATCACCACCTGATCTCACCGTGCTCTGGTGGCCTAGAGGGTAAGCAGCTGTGCTGCCGCCACAGAGGCAGGTGGATGGAATCCACTAGCTGCTCCACTTAAGACGGGAAATCTCCACCTGTGCGGTTAACATGCCAGCTCAGTGGCAATGCACTGGGCGTTTGTGTGACTTCTGGGTAACACATCTCTGCTTTCATTTCTAAAAGTAATCTTGGTTCTGAGGGATGGAAAAGACAGCTGGGGACAGCTGAGCTGTGGGTCACCAACCTCTCTGTCTCTGTCTGTCTGTCTCTCTCTCTCTCTTAGCTGTGGGTCATCAGTCTCACTCTCTCTCTCTCTCTCTCTCTCTCTCTCTCTCTCTCTCTCTCGCTCTCTCTCGCTCTCTCTCTTTCCCTCTCTCATGCTTTTGCTCTCACACTCTCGCCCTCCCTCTCTCCCTTTCCCTCTCTCCTTCCCTCTTTCCCTCCCTTTCTCTCCCTCTCTCTCTCCTCTCTCCCTCTCCCTCTCTCTCCTTCTCTCCCGATCTCACTCTCTCCCTCTCTCCCTCCCTCTCTCCTTCTTTCCTGCTCTCTCTCCCTCTCTCCCTCCCTCTCTCTTTTCCTCTCTCCCTCTCTCTCCCTCCCTCTCTTTCCTCTCTCCCTCTCTCTCCTTCTCTCTTTTCTCTCTCCCTCTCTCGCTCTCGCTCTCTCCCTCTCTCTCTCCTCTCTCCCTCTCCCTCTTCCTCTCTCTCCCTCTCTCCCGATCTCACTCTCTCCCTCTTTCCTGCTCTCTCTCCCTCCCTCTCTCTCCCTCTTTCTTTTCCTCTCTCCCTCTCTCTCCCTCCCTCTCTCTTTTCCTCTCTCCCTCTCTCTCCCCCTCTCTCTTTTGCTCTCTCTCCCTCTCCCTCTCATGCTCTTGCTCTCACACTCTCACTCTCCCTCTCCCTCCAGCTCTCTCTCTTCCTCTCTTGCTCTCTTTCCCTCGCCCCTGAGCCTCAGGGGGCTGAGGTGGGCAGTGCAGCCGGCCGGGGATGCGGCTGCAGGGCACGGGGTGGTGCGCACCTTGATCATGTGCTCCTGCACGCAGCGCGGGTCGCTGCTTCCCAGGATGCTGAGCAGCTCGTCGTCGGAGATGAAGAAGAAGCGGGGGAAGGCATTGCGCTTGGAGTCCAGGTAGTCATTGAGGCTCTTCTGGCACTTCTCCAGGCCCGCGCTGATGTTCTGCAGGTCACTCAGGCGGTTCGGGGCCTCACAGCACTTCTTGATCACCGGGTCCTTCAGCGTCTCCGCCATGATCTGCCAAGGACCCCAGAGAAACACAGGCAGAGTGAGCGAGGGCCGGGGAACCAAACCACGGTGTGTAGGCAGAGCAGGCCGGCTGAGCTCACCAAGGCTCAGATGCCCTGTGCACCTGCTAACACACCATGCAGAACTTGTTCATTTCAGAGGGTTACTTTCATCATTTGACTGCAATTTGGGTGACAACTGGCAGAGCAGACTGGTTTTCTGTTCAACAGCTCACACTCCTTTCACTTCCTGATGTTGGTTCCAAGCCCCACAATGTAGCATCACTCTACTCACTCCGTCCCTCTGTTTCCCATTTCCATTCCATTGTGTGAATCTACCATAATTTCTCAATCTATTCATTTGTGGTTGGATATTTTGGCTGTTTCCATGTTCTTGCGATGGTGAATAATGCTGCTATGAATATTGGTGTACAAATCTCAGTTTATGCCTCAGTGCTCATATTCTTGGGGTATATTTCAAGAAGTGGAATACCTGGCTCATATGGAATTTCTAAGTTCAGCTTTGCTTTCTGAGGAAGCGCCAAACTGCCTTCCAGAATGGTTGTACCATTTCACAGCCCCACCAACAATGTATAAGTTCCATTCTTGCCATATCCTCTCCAACATTTATTACTTGCTGCCCTGTTAAACTTTGCCACTGTTACTGGAGTGAGACGGTACCTCATTGTGGTTTTGATTTGCATCTCTCTTGTTGCCAGTGATTTGGAGCATTTCTTCATGTGCGAGTTTGCCATTTGGAAGCATATAAATGACTGAATGAAACGTCAATATGTTTTATAAACTTTAGCTCAAATCACAATAAAAGTATTTTTTAAAGTTATAATGTCTTAATATCTGCAGCTAAAGATTAAAGTGAAGCTTTCAGAAAATAGATTAAAACTACTTTAAAAACCCCAATCCAACCCATTGCTCCCTTGTCAATTCCACAGTTCCAACTTCTAGTGACTTGAGAAGATTCTCAATAAGATTCCCAAGACTGTAAATCTTTATAGGAGGAGAGCGTCACATCTTTGCTCAAAATAGACTGAGGCCATATATGACGATGGCGGTGGAGGAGGTAAAAATGTAGACGATGACGGAGAAAGAAAATACACACAAATAGGAAACGAAGTCTCTCTGAAATAACGACCTTTCTTTCATGACTGAAATAAAAGCCATTCACTTGCCCTTTTAAATACTCGATCGATGTTGTCAAATTTCTTGGCCTCGTCTGGAAGCTGAGATCTTATATCTCCACCGATAAAAATGCTCTCCAGGTACATCCATTTTCGCTGAACCAGCATCCAGATCTGTAAGTGTAAAATGTTGACGTCAGAACAGGTAACCAGATACCTCCAGGTGTGTAGAGCAAAAAGCCCACCCAGACACAGGGGAAGTAAAAGAATCTCAAGGTCAAAGGATGCTGCATCCCAAAACCATAGGAATGATGGGCAAAGCATAATTAAGCATTTTTTTAGATGTACCACTACATTTAACACCACACCAGCCTACTCATGAGCAGAGGTCAGAGCCCTGTGACTCAACCGAGATCAGGGTCAGAACTATTTATGACAGGGGCCAGGGCCTGACCACTGTCCTGGCAAAAAAACAACAAAACAAAAACAGGTCTGGAATCATCTGACCCAAAGCTAAGGAGAGCCCAGGGCTGAATCCTTCGCCTGTGGCCTGGTCAGAAGAGAAAGACCGCCGCCCCAGAAGTAACAAGCTGAGCTTGAGTTGTACACAGGGATCTGGATTATAATATTCCACAAAGAAGACATCTCCAGGCCATCTAAGAATAAGGCCCTGACTGATGTTACCCAACGCTACAAGTCAAGCTACTGAAAAGGCAAAAATACATGACAAGGTAAAACAAGTGCAGGAGAGAAAGATATAAGATGACCAAAAAAACCCAAAAATAAAACCCCCAACAACAAAACAAATCACAGTGCCGAGAGCAACAGAGGAGAGATAGGAATAGGAGGAGAAGCTTCTGGCCTCTTTGATCAGTCACTTCCTTTGCCAGGAAACCAAAAGAACTAGATGGTACCCATCTATCATTACTGAATACTTTGATCAGAGATCTTATAGGTAAAAGCAATTTTGAAAGAAAAGCAGGACAGTATGAAATAAGAACAGGATCATGAGGAAAGAAGCCAATTAAGAATCTCGGGGGAGAAAAAAATTATAAAAAAGAATCTTGGAAATAAAAAATAGATTCATTTGGGGAGCTCTGGTGGCCTAACGGCAAGAAGCTGCACTGCAATCCCAGAGGTACATAGTTCGAATCCACCAGATGCTCTGCTGGAGAAGGAGGGGCAATCTCCTCCTGTACCAGTCAGATCTGATTTGATGGTACACACACAGAGAGAGAAATAATAAAATAAAATAAAAATTTTTTTAAAAAAGATTCATTTAAATAAAATTCATACCAAGTCCTCAAATCATGGGCTCCCCTCTCTGAACTAAAGGAAGACAGTGCAAGTATAAAAGGGAATCCTTTGTTTCTAAGTGCCGATGCTTCTGAAACAAAGATTCTTTTCCGCTATTAACAGGTATTGGCCCTCACTGACCCTTTATCACTTGCCTCGATCACTTCCCCAATCAGAGAAAGTATCTTTTCCCATTTATGAACAGTCTGCAGGAAAGGCCCCACAAATCTGCTTCCTGAGATGCTCTGCAGGTTGAAAGTGTTATCATCGAGGGTCTGGATAATGTCATCCACAGACCCCAGAATGTAGCCTCGCTCCTGGGTGCCTTTGAAATACTTGACCACGGAGAATTTCATGTTCTCCCATGTGTCCAGGATTTCCTTCACAGCCTGGCCAGGAAGGAAAAAAGATGGATTCAGGAGCATCAGTTGAAGACACAGAACCCCACCTCAAAATAACTCCCTCAGGTCAGCTTTGGTTAACTCCTCAAACCAGACTCTTCCAAAAAAAATATATTCCACTATTATTTATGAAGCACTTGCTAGGGGCCAGGTAAGCAGGTTACAGATATTACCTCCTAAAAAAAATTACCCTCATGAGGTAGGTATCATCAACCTTTTAATTTTACAGAGAGGAAGCTCAGAGAGGTCAAGCAGATGGCCATGGTCACCCGGCTGCTGAAGGCCAGTCCAACCCCATAGACTACCTTTAAAATTTGCTTACTGAGGCAGGTCTGGCCCTGTGTTTTCCCTACTGGGAAGAAATAAAATAGCAAGATAATATAAAAAAAATTCACCTATTGTTATTATCAAAATGCATCTGTTTCAAGATGTATGCATGTCCACATACATCGTGCCTATGCAGGTGGAATATGGATTCGTAGTATATGTGTGTGCACAGGCTGCATGCATGCATATGTATGTATTTACACATGTGACAGTGTGTGCATGTAAGTGGTGCATGTGTCTGTGTGTGCGTTAGGGGGCTCTGTGGCACAGCACTTAGAGAAGTGTACAGTTAACACAAAGGTCCCAGGGCTCTAGAGGTTCAAGTCCACCAGGGCGCTCTTTGGGAAAGAGATGGGCAGTCTCCTCTTGGGTGATTTATAGCCTAAAAAACGCAGTGGAGGTCAGTTATGAGTCACTTCCAACTTGAGGGCAATGAGCCGTGTTTGTCTTATTGTTGTTGTTGTTTAGCACTGAGTCAGAACCGACCCACAGCTGACCCTGCTGTGGGTTTTCAGAGGCAGCTAATCACATGGGAGGAAACTGCCCAGGCTTCTCTCACAGAGCAGCTGTTGGATTTGAACTGTCTGCTGTTGGGGATTGCAGCACAGCTTCTTGCCACTAGACCACCAGCGCCTCCTGAGTTTGTGTGCACGCATGCATATATGTAGCACTGTGTGTGGATATTTCTGTGTCGCTTTGCTTCAGTCTGCGTTTGTGGTTCAAAAAAAGTCAAGCTCATTGTTTGTCTAGTCACAGGCATCCTTTCTGACAGAAGACGTCTCCACAACATTCCCAGGGCATGAAAGTGACAGCGGCTGCTCATTTCACTGAAGCTGCTACTGGGTTCACACTGCTCACCTTCCGGTTCGCAGAGAAGCACTTAACCACTACACTCCATTCTTAAAAATGGAAGGACAAGAGAGCTCTGGTGGCCTAGTGGCAAGAAGCTGCATTGCAATCCCAGAGGTACAAGGTTTGAATCCACCAATGCTCTGCTGGAGAAGGAGGGGCAATCTTTTTCGGTACCAGTCAGATCCAATTTGATCATACACACACAAAAAAATAAGATAATGAATGGATGGAAATCCAAAGTCTCTATAAATTTTCATTGAAATTAATAACAAAAAAATTTTTAAAAATAAGATAAATTTTTAAAAAATTTTAAAAATGGAAGGGCACACACCAAAACGTTAACAACCATTCTCTTCTGCTGGTAGAATTACGATGCATATATTTATTTTCTCTCTCTTTTTTCCCCCTGCCACGAACATCCATTGTTTCCACAACAAAGAACTCAAAAATGAAACTATTCTTCTTGTTGTTGTTGTCAGGTGCCATCAAGTTGAGTACGACTCATAGAGACCCGATGAACAGCCGTCCTGAAACCTGCCCTAGCCTGTGCATGTATCTGCATTACCTCTGAGACACAGAGCCCACAGTTCAAGTCACAGTGTCAGTCCATCTCGTTGGAGGTCTTCCTCTCCTTCTCCAACCCTCCATCCCTTTCCAAGAAATAGCCTCAGCTAGCCACATGTATGTCTAAAGTATGAAAGATGAAGCTTGGTCATTGCAGGCAAGGAACACTCATTAGAAAGATGAACAATATGAGCTTGAAACACCAAATGTGGACGGAAATCTTTCCTGCCCTGACACAGAGGCTCCGGGCAGAGTCTTCCTTGAGGCCAAGCACCCTCGGCTGCCCTCTCACCTTCTCGATGGCAATCTCCTTGATGGCGGCCGTGACGATCTCATTGAGGACGTCCGTGTGCTTGTCCAGCTCCATTGCAAACATGTTTTCCAAGGTGAAGGTCTCCGTCATCTCAAAGAAGACGCCCGTTTTCTCCATCAGCTCTTTCCAGTGCCTGCAAGCACAGTGACAGTCACGTCACTGCGTGTAAGGGTCTAGGGCGGATGCAGTGATTGCCCGGAAACCACAGGAGAGCCCCGAACAGGAATCTCATTTCTCATGGACTTCCGGGACAGCAGGTGCCTTGGTTTTTGAGCGCTGCTGTAGTGGACACCACAAGTGGATGGTGTTAACAAAGTTAATTCTTTTCAGGCCAAATTCAGGGGGGACAGCACTAGGCCATGAAAGGATTATCATTCCACCCTTAATCATGTTTCTCTTTTTTAAATAAAAAATATTTTTTTTATCTTCTTGGAAGGGTGGAGGGATAGTGCAGGAGAGGAAGACCCCAGAAGAGATGGATTGACACAGTGACTGGGGCAATGGGGGTGGGTGTGTCAGAGTCAGTGAGACGGGCTCAGGACAGGGCAGGCTTCAGAACAACTCGACAGCAAACAACAACAACCACAACATTGGTTTACTGACAAAGTCTGTATACATTGTGTTTCACACTATCTTTCATTCACACTGTGTCTCATACAATCATTCCCATTTTTTTCTTCCTCTGTAGTCATGCCTTTTATTTAACACTTTAAAACCTAGTTATTCAAGACATTGCATTAAAAAAACAAACAAACCAAAAACCACAAACCTTCAAGTGAAACAACTGTAAATGCCACTTTAAACCTGACAGTTATCTTTTTCTATTCTTTTAGGATAAAATCCTTTCATAAAAACAATAATACCAAAATAGCTATTTCAAGCCCTACAGTGCTGTAAAAATCTTGTCTTTCCCTATCAGATCTAAACCAAGATCACGAACTGAGGACATCTTTAAACTACTAGGGAGGATAGAAGGAGAATTGACGCCTTTGAGCTGTGGTGCTGGAGAAGAGTATTGAATGTACCATGGACTGCCAAGAAAACAAACAGATTCATCCTAGAGAGGGTTAAACCAGGTTGCTCCTTGGAGGCAAGGATTCTGGGGCTTTGCCTGACATACTTTGGACATGTTGCAAGGAGAGACAGGTCTTTAGAGAGGGACATCATGCTGGGCAGAGTGGAGGGACAGCGCGGGAGGGGAAGACCCTCTATGAGGTGGATTGATTCAGTGACTGGGGTAATCGGGATGGGTGTGTCAGAGGCAATGAGATTGGCATAGGATAGAGCAGGGTTTAGGGCTGTTGTACATAGGGTCGCTATGAGTCGCAAACGACTCGACAGCACATAACAACAACAACAACCTCACTCTGACACCCTCCGGTCAGTTTCCGAAGGACCCAGCCTACCTGTCTCTCAGCGCTTCGTGTTTCAGGTCCTGAAGAAGCGGAATTGAGTCTTTGAATGCCTTCATCTTGGCTTCCAAGTGGAAGCCCACCGACAGGCTGCGGATGTGCCTGGGGAACTTCCGAAGGGTCTTGAGAAAGTTATCGATCCCTTCCTGGAGGAACTGAACGTTCAGGTTGACCCAGAGGGTCTGAGACCAGTCTTCTTTGGCAGCCTGAGAGGAAAAGAAAGCCACTTCGTTAACAAGATCTCTCTGGAGATGCAGAGGGAAGTCGGCAGAGAACACAATTTCCTACCTCCAGATCACACTCCGCTCTTCAAGGTTAACATGACCCATGGACAAACCATGATGGTTCATGTGATGTGTCAACTAGGCAACACCATGGTTCCCAATGGTTTGGCCAAACAGTGGTTTCATGGTTGTCCTAAGATGTAATATAATGTGATGTAGCATAACCAACTTCCACAATGTAATCTAATTGATCAATCCATTGCTCGTGACGTTTCTTTAAGCTATGACATGACACAACCCTGCTTGCTGAAACTGAGGAGGACCTCATGCACTTGCTGCAAAGGGTCAAGGACTGCAGCCTTCAGTATGGACTGAGGCTCA